TCCCCCCCCCCCCCGGATTCCTCTTGGTATTCTTATTCATCTTCATCATCTTATCTGTCCTTTGCGTCGTCTGGAAGGAGTCCAGGTCAGCAAGTCCACTCACTGAAGGAAATGGCCAGTGAGGAGGGAGGGGGGGATTAGTAGGGAAAAGGTGCCGCTGATAGATGGACGCTCAGGGGCTTTTTGGGTGGGGGTATACATGTGTCATCTGGGTATTTTTCGACCTCCGAGTTGTCGGTTAGTCTGTCTGAAGCGGACGAAGCATGTCAAAATTGAGAAAAAGTAATTGAATAAAGATCTGCAAGCAAGTGGCATTCAAGTCAAGCAATGTGCTGCTCTGAAACTGTTGGGGAGAAGGGCAACTCGCTGACAACGGCTCAGAGTTTACCAGCCAATCTTCAAAACTGTAAATTCGACAAGAGGCACAACTAATTGGTTCATGAAAAACTAACCAATTGTCAAATTAAGGAACAACTATTTTGAACATTGATGAATGCAAAAGAGAGGGATTTCACATGTGGTCTCATGTGAAAGGAAAAAGAATTCAAAATCTGCTAAATTGATTTAAAAAATAATAGATCGTTGGAGGGGGGGGTAAATTGCTGAAATGTTCCTGTTAATTCCCACAGAGTTTTCAACTTGTAAAATCTCCTGGAATTTTGTCACAACAGCAAAAACTCTTCAGAATAGCTGCACGCATACACGCACTACCTCCTCCTGTAAAAAGAGCCCATGTCATTTCCTGTTCTCTCTTTGGGTCTGTCTGTGCCCCCACCCACTTTGGCCCCTCGGGTGGTGGAGTCTGTGAGCATGCGTCTGTCCCACTGTGGCGACGCGTGCCCTCTCGCCCGTCTCACCCTCTTGCCAGATTGGCACTGCAATCGCGCGGAGGCAGCATGGCGGACAGCTCGGTGTGCGGCGGCGAGGACGCGGCGGGCGTGGCGGCTCTGCTGGCGCGCGTGGCCGGCCTGATGGACGGCGTGCAGGCGACGCAACAGCGCATGGAGGAGCGGCAGCTGGAGCTGGAGAGCACTGTACGTGCCATCCAGGCCGGTGTCGCCAAGCTGGCCACAGAGCAGGCCAGCAGCGCCACCAGCCTGGAGAAACTTCTGGAGAAGACGTGCAAGGTCAGCAGGCACGTCAAGGACGTGCGGGTGCGCGTGGAGAACCAGAACCTCCGCGTTAAGAAGGTCGAGGCCACGCAGGGGGACCTCCTGGCCAAGAACAAGTTCCGAGTAGTCATCTACCAGGTGAGCGACTCGAGTGGGGGGCGACATGGCTCAGGTGCTTGTCCAGTCTTCACACAACCCCAAGGTTGGGGGTCTGAACCTCAACCCTAGAGACCATGTCCTTGGGCAAGAAGCTGATACTGCGTCATCAGTGGTCAAATGAGGAGAGTGTTCAAGCGAGCACTTGTCTTCCCAAAGTCCAAGAGCATCTATGACCGCACCCCTGATAAGCCTAAACTCTGCCTGGAAATGTTTCCGTGGCCACTTTCTATGAGCTTCTCGTCACTTGGGTGTCAGGATAGCTGGAGGCGATGTCAGCCCACTTTGCCCGAGAGGCAAATTTACGGAATGAAGACCTATGCAAATAAAGCTCAGAAGTGCTAACAACAGAACGGATGAACCGTGCTGCCCTGAGCATTCTTGTTTCTGATTACGACAACCCGTCGAGTTGAAATGAATTGCTCGGAATCGAAGTGTCCCTCGTGAATTGTCTTCACTTGATGGAAGCGCACACCCAAGGCCAAAAGTTCATCTCTGACCCCGAAAATCAGTGGTGTTCAAATGGCCTGCTGACCTTTGACCGCTCGCATGAAGCGTCATCATCCCTGCTCACCAAAACTTGGCAAGCGCGGAAGGTAACCCGATCGCCTTGTGCGATATGTTTAGCTTCCTGCCGGCAGCGGCACTGAGCTCTGCCAACAGGTGCCGTCCACTATTTAGGGAGGCGTGCGCGCCACCTGACACGCTGCTCCGTGCCAGCGCCTCCAATTTAAGGCCAAACCGGTTTAGCGCTTTTCAACACCAGCCTTCACTCCAAAATCCCCATTTGCAAACGTGGCCATACAAAATGGAAGCTGTGAGCGGAGGAACATCGTGTTCCTTCGAGCATGAAAAATACGGCGACGGAGTTTTTAATGCTTGTCAATGTTGGCATTTGTCCAGGTCCTTTAATTCTCGGGCCAATGGCTCAATTGCAACCGGACTGTATGAGAGCATGTTCAAATATCAATACTTGGCTACAAAAAATGTATTTTAAATATTTTCTTGTTGTGGTGTCTCAGGGCGAGCAGGAAGTGCGAGCAGTGACGCCAGGTCATGACGTGGACGGAGAAGTCCCGGGGGACAGCGAGGAGTCCAATAAGTTGGAGTGTCCTCCGGACTCGGATGAAGAGTACATGGTGGTGGAGGAAGCCGACGCTACGGCGGCGGCGGCGGCAGGTGGGCGTCCGAAGAAGACGGGCCTGACGCGCATGGAGAGCCTGAAGGCCACCTTCTCGCGGGAAAACATGAGCCGGACGCGAGACAGCCTGGGCACCAAAGTCAACAAACTGGGCGAGCGCATCGTGACGGCCGAGCGGCGCCAGAAGATCCGCCAGTCGGGCGAACGGCTCAAGGAGACCCTGGCCAAGAACGTCCTGAGGAAGGACAGGACTGTGGCCGAGGGCCAGGAGGGGGTCGACCCCGCCGCCGACAACAATGCCGGCGCGGCTGCGCCCGTGCCGCCGCCCAAGGGCCGGCGCGGCGCCCCGGATGAACCCCGGCCGGAGGGGGAGGTGCACGTGTACGACATGAAACAGCTGTCGTAGTGCCGGCAAGCCTGGCGGGGGCGCAAAGTCGGCAGAACAATTGAGGTCATGTGACTCTCTGGACAGTCTTTAGCTAATCAAGCTTGTGTGTTGACATTGACAAGAACTTGCTTTTTGCATGTGAATGATCGGGAACAAGATGGCGGGAGCAGTGGCGGCACTTTGTGTAGCGACTTGAGTTGAGCAAGAATGTGATTTGAGAGAATAAAGCATAAATGCAGCAAACAACAACAGCAGCTTGTTTTGGGTTTTATTGACCTTTTATCACGATGTCCTCTGAGTGCTTTTTTTTAAATTAAACGTATGAAGCTAAATTTGCGAAAATGTTTTGCTGCTTTACAAAACTGGGGTGACACAGGCACAAAGGCAACTGCTTTCAATGTAAAGCAACGTGCAAGGAACACGAGATGCGTTCATTTGGGCCTACCTGGTGACCAAGCTTGTGTTGAGCTGCTCTGCGATCTTTTCTAACGTGTTGAAGAGGTGAGGAAAGGGTCGTTGTGCTCGGTGACAGCTCCTCCCTTGCTTGGCTGGCTGCTCCATCGAATGCTTCGGCCTGTCTATGCCTTGTGATCCGCAAGGGACCCTTTCAGCCCCAAATTGTGGATGGATTTTAAATTTACAGCTTAAAAGTATGTACTAAAACATTTTAATGGCAACAAAATTCAGTCTTCAGAATTTCAATTGAGAATCTGATGGCACAGATATGCTTCCATACATGAGATCAGACAACAAGTGACCGACCACTGCACACATTTCATTTCATCTTAATATTACAAAGAATCAACATGAAAGTTCATTGACTTTTTTCAGACGGCGTGCAGTGACCTTCCACGTCTTTTTTGTGGTCAACACGTGCACGGGCTCCGTCGCCAAGTACGTCTTGGTGCAGCTCAAAGTGCTTTGTTTTGCTTTTTGGTCTGTGGCTGTGAGCATCTAAGCCAGGGCTGGAATGAAGTACTGCAGAGACACGTCCTGGTGGAGCAGGATGAGATGAAGCACCGTCTGGTGGACGATGTCTGTGGGACAGACAAATGGCCCACCTTGTCATTGGGCAGGTGCCATCAACCCTTTCCTCGTGGAATTCACATTCATCCGTTACTTCCAGTCTCCGCCTTCCCAAAAAGCAACGACTACAAATTCTAATGGGGTCTTTTCATGAAAGAAAAGCTCAGAGGTACCAGGCTTATTGTGGCACAACATGGTGCAACACCAAATCTGTGTAACTCAAACTTGGAACTTGCTTGTATACCATTAAGACCCATTTAAAAACAGACAAACAAAGAAACTGCACACAACCTACCCGATATTGATGGGCAGACAATGAACGACAATGGCGGGCTAAGACAAAGTGTTGTTGTAGTTGTACTTACTGCATATGGCCCTGCTAGGGTTGACCTGCTGACCCACCAGGAACTGCTGCAGCTTCCTGATGTCCACGCGGGCCTGCGCCATGGCATCCAGGTCACGAGGCGACTGCGATCCCCCATCTTGGGAGGTGCGGTCACCTGCCAGGACAAAAGAGGTGAAACATGGGTCATGTGACCTCAGACTGATTCCCACTGGCAGTTTTACCCCAGTGAGGGTTTCCCAGGTCTTTGAAGTGAGTGGTGACGGACACGAGGTCCGTCTCGATCTTCAGGGTCATCTGGCCGCTCAAGTTGGCCTCCACCACCTGATGCGCGCAGGCACAGACACAATCGGTCACAAAGCCGTTGGTTTCTGTGTGTGTGCAGCAATGGTTGTGGTGGTGTTCCTTCACACCAGGAAGTTGGAGAGGTTCTTCATCCTGTCCACCACGTTCTTCATGGTCTTGAGAGGCGGCAGGTAGACACTGACCTGGCAACCACATGACACGTCACGCGGGACTCCAACGCCAACAGGCACGCGCCCCAGCGGCGGGCGGTCGCGCACTCACGTCAAAGTCAGGTAAGCTGGGCTCTTTGAACTCGTGCCACAGTCGTCGAGGGATGACATCCACAGGAACATCATGCGTCACCACACGGTTGACGCTGGACATGGTGGGCTGCATGGGCAGGAAGTCATCATGTTACTGTCCTGATGATTACGCTGTGTGTCATTAATTCAGTCAACCGTCACAATTGCCGGCTGCTGGAAACTCGAGGTTCCCAGAATGCACTGCATGGTGCAATGCATTTAATTAATGAGGTTGTAAGAACATTAATCTTTGTCATACGTGTGTATGAACAGAGGGTGTCAGTCATATGTTGCTTTGCAACTGACTGACCAGCTCGGCGGCGACGGTGAGGCAAGGGCAGTGCTTTTTGGTCAGCTTGACTTTGACGCTTTTGGCATTGTGGACGGTCCTGAGGGCGCGGAAGATGTTCTCCGGTGTCACCTCAAGACAAATCTCGTTGTCCTGGGAGCTCACGCCCTCCATCTGGTACTCGTCAAAGATGTTGGCCTGGGAGAAGGATGACACGCGTGTGTGGGGGGTGGGGGGAAAGGCGGCAACCGGGGCGCAGGTCGGAGGGGTGCAATTACCTGTGCCAGCTCGCACCACATGGCCACGCCTCCACTCGCCACTTTGCCGCAGAGGACAAAGAAAAGATGATCGGGCGTCAGACGCAGCGCGCAAGTCTTGGTCAGCTTGGAGATCGTGCTCACCACTCCTGCAACAACATCAAATACATTTTTGGGAGATTGCTTTCCACATGATTTGTCTTGTTTAAGAAGAAAGCACATGTGTAAATTTGAATGTTTTTGATTGAAGTGGTGAGTTTGTGCATCCTGTAACCGTTATTGCGATTATCTTTGTGGCTCTTTTTTGCACTCTCACTGTTTTTTGTTTTGTTTAATTTGTTTAAGATCAAGGTGAGCATGAACGAGTTCCTCTCCACACAGTCTTGTCAATATGCTGAACAAGTTAACCGGTCTTGGTTTTGAGAGCACATTTTGAAGTACTTGGTCTTGTCTCGGATTTGACTGCTTGGTCTCGATAAGTAGTGAGTGTGGTCTTGAGCAAAACATTGGCTTCCTCACTACTCAAATGCCTCTTGACGGTTGAATTCTTTTAGTTCAACGCTTCAATAGGGCTCTGACATACTGTAAGTAGTAAATTTGGTTCGACTTTAACACGCGTGAAGTGAAGACAAACGTCAAACACACGCTACATAGGAGACCTGCAAAAAGCAAACGGGGGTTTTAGCTTCCAAACAAATGTTCTTACGCGTGAAATGGTTGAGGCAGGCCACGTCAACAATCTTCCCTCGAAACTTCATGGCCAGCTAACGCTCCAAAATGTTCCCAAAGTCAACTTCAACCACCGTCACTGCTCAAATTGTTCTTAGCCGGTCAACTTGTTTGGACTTCCCGCTACGGCGCGTCCATAGTTGAGGTCCGTCTGCGTCAAAGATCCGCCGGAAACGGAAACAGGGTAAAGATTCTCTTTTGATAACATTTAATGCAGTTTTACGCCACTCACTTCCACAAACTACCGGAGAAATGTTACAAGAGGGATTTCACACTGATTTCACAAATTAGAAACAGAAAAACAATGTATTAACTTTTTATTGTTTTGTGGGCAACACTGAAGCGGTTTGTCTTTAACTGCGTAAAATACAACATGACACATTATCTTTATTGTTTGTATTAAACGTGACGATGTGTTCAGCCAACACTCAAGTAGACAGGCAGCCAAAAAACAAACAGAACAACAAACCCGTCTTGACGCCAGATGGCTGGAGTGAAGGTCCACACGAGGGCGCTGTAATCTCTCTGTCTGACTCGCTCTCTTTCAGGCTTTTGCAGGTCGGCGGGATGTTCAAGTGCAGGCATGTCGAGTTGAGAGTGTGGACATAAACAGTCAACATGCGTGTGCGTGCTGTCATCAAGTTTTACAACACGCTGTCACTCACAGACACACTATAAAAACAAACATTTTCATTCTTATTTCAAATCATATTTGACGCAAAGCCTTCTCAAAGTTTGAAGGTGATGAAGCAGAAGGACATCAAACACCAAAGCGTTTGGAGGTCAAAGGTTGACTTTCTGGAATGTGATCCCATCATCACATGATCCCTTCATCATGGACACTCTCAAGCCACACTTCTTGCTTGCACCAGCGGGTTCAACAGTAGGTAAAACATCATTCGAGGTAGCAAAAGTTGAATCATTGTCTGGTGAGCAAAACTCTTTAGAAGTTCTCCAGAGGTTCTTCTTAATTTTTTTTTCTGTTTTTCAGGTGCTATTGAGTTTTTGTCAGAAGATGAGTGGCATGGGATGTTCGCTCTCCTCCTGTCCTTCGTCTGCTGTTCCTTCCTCATGAATCAGGCGAGTCAGGATATCGAAGAGGCGCCGGTAGATATTCCGACCTCCTCCTTGTCCTCGTTTGTCCACGCCGCCGGACTCAGAACATTCCTGCACCGTCCTTTGCAGCTCCACCTGCTCCAGCACGGAAGAAGAACATGCTGAGCAAGAAGAGAGGAGAAGGAGGAGAAGGAGAAGAAGCACAACCACCTGTAGGGGGAGCCCCGCTTTGGCGCCAAGCAGTGTGGGAGAAAACCACAGCCTGAAGATCTTCTCGCAAATCACCTGATCAACGACGACAACAAGAGCAAAATTGCTGATGGTCATTGTCGGCTTTGTTGGCTCCAATCGTTTTCACTCCACATTCATCCGATCGGCATACTGATCAGTTTGTACACGACGACTGATGATTGATCAGCGATTAGCGACCTGCAGGTTGGTGTTGGCGCGCTGTCGGCGGCAGCGTCCCGCGCCGAGGTCGCACGACGACACGCAGTCAAAGAAGTTACAGTCGTCGTCAGTGCTGCACTTCTGGTCCAGGATCTCCTCCATCTTGGGCTGGAAGAAGGCCATGTCCACGTCAATGGCCACCACCTGATTGACAGCACATGTCAGCGTTGCAATAACAAGCACCGGATGCCACTGCCTCAGAAATTATTTGCAAATGCTAAAGCGGTGACGCTCAACTTAAATGCAGTAGCCGGAAGTCAAATGGGAGAATTGGTTTGAATACGGACATTTAGTACAGACAAAATAATATAATTCTTCTAATCAGTGCCATCGATTAGGATTTGACATATTTGCCTGTATTTCTGACCTCTTTCGAATGAGATTTGCTCAAATGCTAACATGCTAACGGTAGAAATGCATTTGAATCAGGTGTGTTAAAGCAGTGAGGGATAGAAAACAGGCACACAGCAGCCCTCGAGGACCGGAGCTGGTGGACATGCCTGTTTTAGAAGGACAAAAAAGTGATGTTATAACAGAAGAGGCAGAATAACGTCCTGATTATCTTCAGCATTTGCACAACAATGACAATAATGACAATATTAATCACAAGAAGAAGAGGAAGCGGAAGAGGAAGAAGAATGCTGACGGTGAGATCATTCCTGATGGCAAAGTTCTCGGGCTTGACGTCACACAGATGCACTTTGTGCGTGAAGTCGTGGTCGAAGTGTTGCACCATGTCCAGGAAGCTGAGCGCGATGCGGTGGACCTTGTGCCGGGCGGCCCGCGCCCCCCGACGGCCTGACCGAGTGACCCCCGCAACCGTCT